GTATTATTACTACGAGCCGAATCACTTGGTATTATTGGTGGATCATTGGGAATGGGTGGATTAATTTTCCGAGTTTTACAAGACTGGAATAGCGACGGTTAGGTTGGATCAGGCGGGTCGAAAATATTGGGTTTGATTATCTTATGTTTTTCTAATTTTAAATGAGTAAATCGCTGTAACACCCAACTGTTCTTTTAGGTTTACCAATTTTTTTAGCAAAATTTTTTACGCATGGATTAATAACTGGCCAAAACCCGCAACCGAATATCAACATAGAGAGTAAGATGCTATGAGCGCACTTACTTGCTTATAACGTGCATACGAAGATCATACATGAATGCATAGCCTTCTAAAAACTTGTTATTCGATGGTATATTTTTTTGTGCTCCTCCCGACGTTCCCGAACTACAGCAACAGTTTCAAAGCACTTAGTTTTTTTTTAATAAACACCATCACCAATACCAAAAAGGAAAGAAAGAAACTTTAGGGAAAGCTAACTCTTATGCGTACCTCTGCAAGAAGTTTGTAATGGGTATGGCCGATATTATAGTCGATGCCTCTCCATTCACGATTCGATCGATATAAGGTTTAACATCTTTATAGGTGACTATTGGTAAGTTTTTCTTGAAGAGCTCTTTAACAGAGCTTCCATGAAGATAGTCTTGGAGATACTCTGTTTCTGCGTTAAGTGTGAGTATCTCTTTCAACAAATCGTCTTGTATCTGCTTCACATTCCATGTTAACTCCTCAAGAACCTTTTCCTTTTCTTCCTCGTTGAAATTGGAGATTATACTCATATTTGGTTATCTCTCTAATTCACGCGGAATGTTTTGGCCTTTATTTGTAAGGCTAAATGTTTTCCCCTTCCCATGTTTGTGGGGACAACTGAAAATATAAAATAAAATTCCAAGGTGTAGTAGTTTCATCCAAAAAAGTTGAGGTGTAAGTTAAAAACCAATGTAGTGTAACGAAACAAATAAAAATCTAACCAATTATATTAAAGTAAATGAAAATATTTAGAAGATAACGACTTAAAATCATAATAAAATTTAAATATCATCGTATATTACTTAATTAGTTAATTTAGAGACGTTGTTTTGAAAGTCTAAATTATAAAACACCAAGAAAGTGAAATAGAAGAGTTGACATCGTTTTCAAATAAAATTACAGTATATTTATAGTTAGGGATATACAATGTAATTTATTACAAAAAAAATGTTGGTTTTATGAAAATTAAAGAACCGATGTTGTGATGACAAAAAATAAGGATTTTGCCATCAACTAGCATCCTAGTTCGCCTCATGGACAAAACAATACAAAACAAAAACCCCAATTGGTAACTTAAAAAGGTACAAATTCTACATCGGTAAACGGTTAAAAACTAATACAAATATGTAAAAAGTAGTTGTAAAAATAATTAGTAGAACAAAGTCGAGTGCAACGTTTTTTGTAAAGTTGGTACCGTTTCAGTAATAGATAACTACAAATATGGTAACTTTGTATCGTTATGAATTGCTTTTTTAAATGTGGTTCCAATTGAGAAATGAACTACAAAAACCTCAAACAACTTTGATTTAAGATGATGTAGCATATTGTTTCTGCCTTTTCATAATTTTATGCATAATTTTTCATTTTGTTAACTAATAAATTTAATATTCCAATAAAAAAAAATGAAAATATTGAACTCCCTCACGATTGATTTGTTTAGTTTTTCACATTTAAGTGGGTGCATCGAATAATATGTGAAAATATATATCCTCCTGGCAAAAGATAATTGACGTTCGTATTATTATTATAAAAATGGGAGCAGGTCGCTAATGGAAAATGAATTTCCCACGTCTGCATTAAAAAAAATGGGGAGCA